CATAGAGAGACCCTGTCTCAAAAAGACAAAAAAACAAGCAAACAAACAAAAATCATGTGAGGGTACAACAAAAAGGAGGCCATTTACAAACCAAGCAGAGAGGGTTAGAAGAAACTGAACTTTCACACATCTTGATCTTCGACTCCCAGCCTGCAGAACCATGACAAAACGAATTTCTATTTTTAAACCACTGAGTCTGGGATTTTGTCGTGACAGCCCAAATAGACTAGGACAGAAGCATTTGTCCTGGCCAAGAAGATCCCTCTAGAGCCTCAGCTCTCTGTCAGACTCTTTCCAGCCCCTCATCATCAAGAACCCACACCTCTATGACTTACTAGTTTTGAGTCCTTGGGCAACCTAACCTCTTGGTCTCCAGCGTTTTTTATCTGTACAAGAGGAATTACAAATGGCTTCCCTCACACGGTTGCAATGAGGTTTTTTTTTTTTTAATTTTAAAGAGAATAAAGCAAAACAAAAACAAAATCACAAAAAACAATAAAAACAATGCAGAATTTCAAAACAAGATGACAGAAAATTAACAATGGTTATTACATTGCATATTGTTATCTTCAAAGTAGTTGCTCAGATTACCAGATATAGGTATGCAAGATTGATAAAACAATTAAAGTTTTTTTTTGTTTTTCTCTGGTACCGGGAACCGAACTCACGACCTTGCACTTGCCAGGCAGGCGCTTTGCTGCTGAGCTAAATCCCCAGCCCCTAAAACAATTAAAGTTAACTGTTCCTTTCAATAAACCAATAGAAATTAGTAGCACAATTATAGTAGCTATCTTGTGTGTGTGTGTGTGTGTATACACACACACAAATATATATTATTTCCCTTCCTTCATTTCTTTCCCCCATCCCAGTTGTTCTTTCCTTTAGAAAAAAGATCCAATGAGGATGAAATGTCATCAGCTATTGTTATATTTGTCTTCATGATACTTGTTAAAGAACTGACTTTATTCAGGACCATCCTGACAAGCACAGGGACCCCTATATGATAGGATTTTGCAGTACTGAAAAGAGATTGGGTTCAACTCCAAGCACAGCAAGCAAAAGTGAGAATATACAGCCTGGCTACAGGAAAGGGAGGTCAATGGATGAAAAACTACTATGCATTTATATTAGACTATTTTTTTTTCCAGTACCAGGAATCGAACTCATGACCTCATGCTTACCAGGCAGGTGCTGTGCCGCTGAGCTAAATCCCCAGCCCCAAAACACTTGGTTAGATTTTTTGTTTTGTTTTGTTTTGTTTTCTGGTACCAGGAATCAAACTGACAACCTTGCGCTTGTCAGGAAGGCTCTGTGCCGCTGAGCTAAATCCCCAGCCCTAAACATTAATATCAAAACCAGGGGAAATCTTGCTAGGTAGACTCAATAGTATTCTTGCTTTATTTCATTTTATTCTATTTTCAGTACTGGGGATCAAATCCAGGGTCTTCACGCTGAGCCACATCCCCAGTTTTTATTCTTTTTGAGACTGGGTCTCACTAAGTCCTTAAATTTCCTAGGCTGGAATCCTCCTGCCTCAGTCTCCCAAGTGTTAGGATTACAGGCATGCAGCTCCCTGCCTAGCAACAGAATTCTCGCTGGAGGGAGGTCAGAGCAATGAGTAGGCGATGAGGAATCTGATCAGATATCAGATATTCAGGGTGGGTATTTTGATTGAACAAACATAATTCTTCCTAAAACTGGGCTAAATGGGCCTATAACAGAGCCAAAATTTGGAGCCTATCAGAAAGAAAACTCAGAGCAGCCTGATTTGGGTTTTGTCAAGGAGTCTATGTCACTATGGAATGCAATTAGCATAGTGCAAACATCATAAATATCCAGTAAAGTGTTAACAGCTGCTATACTCCAGCTGTAAAGCACTAACTGCTATTCCTCGTGTGCATTCCAGCAATTGCAAAGGTGTTGTTTTGTTTAACTTTTTAAAAATTTGAGACAGGGTCTTGCTACATAGCTCAATCTGGCTTTCAATGCACTGTATAGCCCAGGCTGGCCTCAAACTCATGGCAATCCTCTTGCTTCAGCCTTCTGAGTGCTGAGATTACAGCCATGCACCACCATGCCCAGCTTTGTTCCACTTCTATGCATTAGCACATGCTGGTTTGTCCGTTTAGAATGCTTTGCTCCCACTGCTTCATTCTGCAAACTCCTGGTTGCATTTCAAGACTGAAGTTTTTGGCCGGGCGTGGTGGTGCACGCCTGTAATCCCAGCACTCACGAGGCTGAGGCAGGAGGATCGCTGCGAGTTCCAGTCCAGCCTGGGCTACAAAGTGAGCTCAAGGCCAGCCTGGACTGCATAGCGAGACCCTGTCTCAAAAAGACAAAAAAAAAAAACCAAAAAACCAGACTACAGCCTTGGAGTGCCAGGAGGGTACTCGCCAGCATGCATGAGGCACCACACAAACACATACACACACAGCCCAAAGTCTTGCTGGAGACAGCTCTGATCTAGGTCCTGGACTGCTCCTCTGTGCTTCCAGAGTATCCTGCGTTTGTCTCCAGCAAGTGAGAATCCACTGCAGGGATTTAGGTAAAGGAGCGACCTAACTTGGCTTGAGTACCTGCTATATGCCAGGCACCCTTCTAGGCTCTGAATGAAAACAAAAATAAAAGGACAACTTAGGTCATAGGGCTACTGAAGGGATTATGAGAGATAAGCACTTCAGACTGCATGCTAACCCTTATTACCTGTATTCGGGACACTCTCTCAGACCTATTCAGGTCTTTGGCCTCTACAGCCTTCCTCTCTGAACACAAATCCCACTGCCATAACAGCCTCTCTCCTGGGCTTCAGCTCTCATAGCCTGCACCTCCTCCTCACTCCAGACACACAGTGACAGCTCCCTGGCCTTGACACTGCTGCTGTTGGGTTGTTTGCTTTTCTGCACACTGAGTAGGTTGGGTATTGCCATAGGAACAGATTAGTATATAGAAAGCCCAGATAGAATTTTCCATTAGCTTCAGACAAGGGCATGCTCTTCTGTCCCCACCCTAAACAGGCAACAAGTCTATTCTGTAGGACCTGGGCCATCTACAACAAAAGCAGAGCAAAGCAGGGCTAGCTGGAGATGCTACTTTTGTCAGCACCGGATAACGGCTTGCATTTTGTGAACACACAGAGAGGAGATTACAGCTGCAGTCTTTCTGGCAGCAAGGAGGTAGTGAGAGGGTTACTGATCCAGACACCCGAGTAAAAATCAGGAGACTGAGAGGCAGATGCTGTTGATAAAAGCCTTCGGATGGGAATGATCTTCACAAATGCTGTTTTCTGAATAATAAGTCAAGAACAATCCCCAGCAGGTATGAACCTCTTTCTGCCAGAAGGTACATCAAACCCATCCAGGGCTCAGAGGGCAAAACCTGGAAGTCAGGGTTCACCTCACCCCTTCACTCAAAGCAGCTCTGCATTTCATCTACTATATTTATTCGGGCTTTAACTTGTAACTACTTTCGCACGAAGGTTTCTAGGGCTAAACGTTTGCTGTTCCTTTCGGCACAGGACCACACATCTTACATTCCATAAAATCCCGCCGCTGTTGAGGTGTAGCGGCCACCCTCAAAATCCTGCTCTACTTATCTACGTCGCATGCCCTTTAATCCCCTGAGGATAGGTCCTCTTTCTGCCAAAGCTAAAGCCTCTGTTCAGGCTTGATCTCATCTCTTTCTCATTTCCTCTGAGTCTTTACACCATCCATTTTCCTTTCTCTTATATGGAAGCATATTAAATTGCCATTTGCAACATTTGTCATTGGTGGAACATTGGCTATTTCAAATGTTCCAGTGTAATACCTCTCAGTCTTTTTCTTCTCTATCTTTTCCTTCTCTTTAGTCAAAAACAATTACAAAATGTCTGTAGATTATGTTTTTCTAAGGTCACACCTATATGAATCCCTGCATATAAAATGTAAATATTGGTGGTGTGAGCGTGCATGTCTGTAATTTCAGCACTTAGGAGGCTGAGGCAGGAGGATTTCAAGTTTGAGCTCAGCCTTGATTACATAGGGAGTTTGAGGCCAGTTTAAGTTACATTGCAAGATCCTGTGTAAAAATAAATAAATAAAAATAAAAGCAAATAACTTAAAATTTTAATACAATCTAGACACCATCCCCCAGGTACGTTCACATCTCCCAACTGACAATTCACCTGTCAAGTATTTATGCAGGGTCTGGCATGTTCATGAAATGTTTATTGACTTGTTCAGCAAATATCCCCTGAGCACACATATGATGTCCAATACAATTTTAAGCATTTGGGATAGGTCAGTGAGCAAAACAAAGATTCTTATGGAGCTGATATCCTAGCAGGGGTAGGAGGGTAAAGAAACATAATATGTAACAGAACTACATTGCAGTTCTTTTAAAAAGTGATAGCTGGGCATGGTGGTGCACGCCAGTAATCCTAACACTCAGGAGGCTGAGGCAGGAGGATCATTGCAAGTTTGAGACCAGCCTGGGCTACAAAGTGAGCTCAAGGCCAACCTGAACTGCATGGTGAGACCCTGTCACAAAAAGATAGAAAGTGGTAGATGCCATAGTAGAGGGCAGTTATAGAGCAGTGAAAGAGAGAAAGGGAATAGTACGGGAAGCACTGTCATTTTATTTTGATCTATTTACTTCTTTTTAGTGCTGAGGATTGAACCCAGGGCCTCACGCATGCAAGGCAGGCACTCTATTACCAGCTACATTTCCAACCCTAGCAGTTGTAATTTCAAATATGGTGGCCACTGTTTGCTTTGGGGGCACCTGACAAGCAAAGACTTGAAGGAGGTGAAGGACAGGCCGCAGAAATATCAGGGAGCAGTGATCCAGGGAGAGCGAACAAAAACTGCAAAAGCACCAAGGCTGGGACGCTAAAGGAACAGTGCGGGGAACCGTGGGAAATGAGGACACACAGGTCTCAGGGAACAAGAATGCAAAGGATCTCCACTATAGTTATCTATTACAAACTGCCCTAAAACGTGGCTACTGAGAACAATAGTACTCACAGATCTGAACGGCTTGGCTGGATAATTCTGGCGCTGGGTCCCAAGAGGCAGCAGTTATCCAAAGGCTGGACCTGAAGAATCCCTTGCGGGGCGGCTTACTCGTGTGGATGGCCCCGGGGGTGCTGGCTGTTGGGGGAGCAGGGAGTGCGGAAGGAGGAGGGCTCAGGTGCTCTGCATGTGGGCCTCTTCAGGGCATGGTTGAGTACCCTCACGGCACGATGCCTGGTGTCCTCTGAGCAACCAATCCAAAGGAGAGCAAGGCAAAAAAAAAAGAAAAAAGAGCAAAGCAGACACTATAATGCCACTTGTGACCCTAGTTTTGTGGGTCACACCCCATCCTTTCCACCACATCCTCCCACCCCAGATAGTCCTGACTTTTCTCCAACTCCTGGACTCAAGAGATCCTCCCATCTCAGCCTCCCGAATACCTCGGACTAGGCACGCATCACCATTCCTGGCTCACTCCCACTGTGTTCTAGCAGTTACACAGGTTAGCACTGGTTTAATCCCGAAGAGATCCAAGGGTCTGACTAGCGAAAGATGAAGGTCACTGATGCCCAATATCATAAGCTTTGTCAGTCATTACAAATTTGCAGCTTTTGACTGAGAATTTAAACTCGTTGGTACAGGGTTTGGCTACTATGTACAAGGCTCTGGGTTCAATCTCCAGTACAACACACAAAGAAAATCTCAAATCTGTAGCTCTTTGAGTGAAATGGGGAGCCACAGAAGGGATCTGAGCAGAGAAAGAGGATAGGTATGGCTGCTTTGTGGGCAGACTGGAGCGGCGCAAGGACGTAATCTGGGAGACCAGTGAGGAGACAACTGCAGTCCAAGAGAAGGAAGGACTTGACAGAAGACTGGTGGAGTCCATGAGAATTAATGATATTCTGGACATATTCTGAAGATAGCAGTGATAGTATTTACCAATGCAGGAATGTGGGATACAAGAGAAAACAGAGTCTTGGAAAATTACAAAAATGACTGATGTAGATCTTGCTGTAAATCGCATTACAATATGGGAGAGCAAAATCACGTGCACAAGTAGTCATACTACACAGCAGAAAGTACTATGCTCTGTAACAAAGGACCAAATTTAAGTGCCAAGTAATGAAAAAATTCTGAAGATGGATGCTGGGGATGGTTGCACAACGAAGTGAAATGCAGTCAATGCCACTGAGGTGGACACCTAAAAATTGTTAAAATGATCAATGTTATGTGTATTTTGCCACAATAAAAAACGGTGCTATGGGCCGAGGATATACCTCAGCGGCACAGGCAACTGCCTGGCAAGTGCAAGGTCCTGAGTTCGATTTCCAGTACTAAAAAAAAAACAAAAACAGTGCTCTAAAAAATTCAAGGGCTGGATCTGGGGGTGTGGCTCTGTGGTGCAGCATTTGCCTAAGCAACTATCACCCTGGAGGTGGCATGTAGCTCGGCATTTAATTCAGATAGTCATGCACAGGCTAGACTAGGGAGAGTAGTCTGAGGATGGAGAAGTAAGTTAATTAAAAAGTAGGTGCCAGCTGTGGTGGCCCACGCCTCTAATCCCAGCACTCAGGAGGCTGAGGCAGGAGGATTGCTGTGAGTTCCAGGCCAGCCTGAGCCACATAGTGAGTTGAAGAGGAACCTGAATTACAGAGAGACCCTTTCTCAAAAAAAAAGTAAGTAAGTTAGCAGACTGGGTAATGGATAGACAGCTTCTACAACACAGATCAGTGGCATGACTTTGGGTGAGTCACCTAACCTGACTAAACCTCAGTTTCCTCATCTATAGGGGATAAAGGTAATCCTAGCTACTTGGGACTGAGGCAGAAGGATCACTTGAGTCTAGAAGTTTGAGAGCAGCGTAGGCAACACAGCAAGATCCTATCTCTAAAAAAGAGGGAAGGGTAATGAGTTATGCATTAAATAAGATGGCTGAAAATTTTAAATGAGATAAATATTTGCTTGCAATTACTTTACTGCAGTAAGTCAGATGTGAGATTCTGAGTTGGGACAATGAAGAGGATCAGAAGAGGGAATATCTTAGCAAAAGCTCAAGGAACAAAAAAGAAATTCTTGCCAGGTGTGGTGACACATGCCTGGGACCCCCAACACTCAGGAGGATGAGGCAGGAGGATCACCACGAGTTCAAGGACAGGCTGGGACACATAGTTTCAAAAAACTAAAAAGAAAAAGAGGAGGGGGAGGAGGGGGAGGAAGAGGAAAATTCTTTGCCCTCTTCTCTACAAATTCCCTTTTCGTGAAGGGCAGTTGGTGATAGCTATGATTTTCCCTTGGAATGAAATATTTAGCCAAGTTCCTGAAACAAAGATTCCTGTTGATGTGACACACTCTTGAAATAAATATGGTGTGTAATGAACATTTGATATACCAAGACTTCCTGCATTTTGTTTTGTACCTCCTCGCTTTATTAATTTTCCCCTCTCCCAATTTCAAACCCCATCCTATCTTTCTATTTCTTGTCATTCCTTTTTATCTTTCTTGCTTGGAAACAGATCCAATTAAAGTATCAGTTCCTTTATCAGCTGAGTGATACTGGGGACGATTACTCTCTCAAGGCCTCAGTTTCTTCTGTAAAATGGGTTTAGTCAGTCAGTGTTTACCTTACAGTATTGTCAAAACTACAACGAAGATCACGTGTTATGCCTAGCACAGTGCCTGATGTACAGAAAGAACCCACCATGTTCGTGCCCTTCTATTTCCCATGCTTGTACTTCTCTTCCTCCGCTCTTCAGCCGGATCCCAGCAGGTGAAAGTCGTGGGAAAAAACATCCTTGAGGCTCAAAGACGAAACGCTCGGGCTAGAGGCGGGGCCTGCGAGATGCCTACTGCGCATGTGCGCCCGTACCTTCGGGTTCTGGTTTCCAGCTGGGGGGGGTGCGTGGGGGAGGGGTGAAGGGGACTTCGTGTTTTTTCTGGCTACCCCCTTCCGGCTCTGCGAAGTGGCGGGACCTTGGCGGCGCCCCGAGCGGGCGCGGCGCGGAGCGGGGCGAGCCCGGCCTGGCGGGTGAGTTGGAAAATGGCGGAGGGGAAGAAGGAGGGGCTTGCTGGGCGGGAGGCTGACCTCGGCGGGGAGGTGGGAAGAAGGTCAGGGCCGGTGGCGTGGCCTGGGCCGCGGACGCGGAGGGCCTGCGCTCAGCGTCTCCGAGGCCCTGCGTGCGCGCGCTTCGGGCTTCCGGGCTCCGGGGTCCCTCGGGGGCCCGGCCGGAGGGCGGAGGCGGGTGAGGGACGCGGAGGGACTTCCGCTTCCTTCGGGGTCGGCCGGCGCTCGACGGAGTTGGTGTTTCCAAGTTGGGGCTCGGGCCGCCCCTCCTCCGGGACCCTCCCCCCGGGGCCGAGCGGATCGCCACTGGCTGCCGGGCCGGCTCGCCAGGCTTGGTGGGTACCGCTCCAGCGGGCTTCCCCTGCCTCCCCCCTTTTCCCTCTCCTCCTTCCCTTCCCCTCCCTTCTCCTCCCTTCCCCTCCCTTCTCCTCCCTTCCCCTCCCTTCCCCTCCCTTCTCCTCCCTTCTCCTCCCTTCCCCTCCCTTCTCCTCCCTTCTCCTCCCTTCCCCTCCCTTCTCCTCCCTTCTCCTCCCTTCCCCTCCCTTCCCCTCCCTTCCCCTCCCTTCCCCTCCTTTCTCCTCCTTTCCCCTCCCCTCCTCTCCCCTCCCCTCCCTTCCCCTCCTTTCTCCTCCTTCACCTCCCCTCCCTTCCCCTCCTTTCTCCTCCTTCTCCTCCCCTCCCTTCCCCTCCTTTCCCTTCCCCTCCCTTCCCTTCCCCTTCCCTCCTTCCCTCCCTTCCCTTCGCCTCCTCGCTCCTCCCCTCCCCTCCGCTCCCCTCCCCCTCCTCTTCCCCTCCCCCTCCTCAGGCCGGTGCTGCTGGGGAGGGCGAGCGGGCCGCGCCCGGGACCGGGAGGGGGCGGGAATTACCCGACTGGTGCTCTGTGCCCAGGTTCCAGGGACAGCTAAAGGAAGGCGTGGGTGGGCGGGTGGCTTCCAGCCCTCAGGTCTGCCTCCCTGAACCCAGTGTCACCAAAGGTAAATTGAGTCCAAAACTTTTTTTTTTAAATGAGCACAGGAACCCCTAGGCCTGAGCGCACCCTCTGCTGCCTTTGGTGTGTATGGAGCAGGGTGGTATGTGTCTGGCGAGGGCACGCGAAACCGAAAGAATCTGGGCTAAAGATCTTCCGGAAGAGGAAATTAATAATTCTTTCCAACGTTTGCTACCCTGGTAGGCGCTTCCCCGCAGCATAGTCCATAAGACAAAATCTCCACTTGATTTTCAGTTTCATTATTTTAATATATAATTAACCTAAAATATTTTGGAGGATGAGTATTGGTTACTGCTGTAACTGAGCAATAGCTCTTCTGCACCTTCCAACTCCCAGACGCCCAAAATGTCAGTCAAAGCGTTGTAAAAACCTATCGGGTTTTAATAATCTACTACTTTACCTTCAAATATTATGTCACTAGTGCCGTTACAGCTTTACCTGGATAGTTATTTACTCATAGAAATTTACTCTTTTTAGGACTGGAGGTTGTAATGGTGTTTCTGCCCCCCACCCCACTCTCTTGTTTGTTTAATAACATTCGTTACAGCCAGTTCAAGAGAACACCGTTACAGACGGCCATCTTTGAATTATAACATTTTAGAGTTGTAAAGCATCTTAGCCCAACCCTTTTGTTTTACAAAGCAGAAACCAAGACTCAGGATTTCATGGCTTGCCTAAGCCGACTAGAGTCAGTCAGAACCAAGCTTGCCTGGCTCTTTGGCCACCACTGCTATGCTGCTGCTTCACATAGCCTCCAAGCATGAAAATTAAATATTCGATTCAACATTTGTGAAAAGTATACTACCCTTGTGTCAGTGGCTATTCCATTTTCCGTGTATTTAACATGCATGTGAAGCCGGTGCTTGAGATTCCCCCCACCACCATTTAAGAAATGAAAACAGTTTCAGTTGAGAAAATTTATATGCACAGACACATACACATGTGTACTTGTATTGCCCCAAATCATTTCTTGAAAAATACATAGGGAAAAATGTTAGCAGTGGTTACTCATGGAGCAGAGGGATGGGAGTCTATTTCACGCTTCACACATGACCTAATGTATGTTTGAATTTCCTACCGTAAATAAGTACTGATTTTATAATGAAAAACGAGTTTTAAAGCTCACACATGTGTATCAGCGTAAGTAAATACCACTGGTATGTACATATGTTTATATGCATATACACTGTAACTGATTTGCACTGTAAAATCGAGTTGGTTTTGTCAGCTTGGCTGACAAAGCAGGTTTCATTATTGTATGCTTATATTTCTGCTTTGGTTTTCTCTTGTTCTTTGTTATAAGGTGGCAAATATATTAGACGTCACATATTACAAAATATGCTGAGCTTGATTATCAAATAATGTAGCAAACTATTCAAACTTTTCAGAATATCAAATTTGACACAGTGCAAGAAATCTGAATTACAGAATCTTTGTGGATAAGAATTATTTTTTAAAAAAGTTAAGGGGCTGCAGATGTAGCATAGTGATTACCTTGTATGCAGAAAGCCCTGGGTTTGATCCTCCTAACAGAAAACAAAACAGAAAAACTGGAAAGATCTTGAGCGATTAGAAGTTCAATTCTCTTGTTTTTACAAATAGATTAAGAATTAAAGAGAAAAAAGTGTAGTTGGGCATGGTGGTGTATGTGCACGCTGGAAGGCTGAGACAACAGGATGGAAAGTTCTAGCACAGGCTGGGCTATTTAGGGACTTCACCAGAACCTGTGTCAAAAAAAAAACAAAACAAAACAAAACAAAAAACAACAAAGCTGGGGATGTAGCTCAGTGGGGCAGGGGCTCTGGGTTCAATCCCTATATTCCACCAAAAAAATTGTCCAGAGTTACATATCTGGTTATCAGCACAGTTTGGACTAGGGTGCAGGTTCTAGTCTAGTGTCCTTTGTATTATACCTATAAATTTATTGCTTTCTGATGTATTTAATGATTCTAACTAGGGTAACAAAGTAATGCTGACTAAAAGGATATAAGGCCTGCTTTGTAGACAAGAACTACTGTAATTTATGTACCAGTTTACAGAGTACTTGAGATATTTTAACATAAATGTAATCTTCCACTTACATGTTGTTGTAAACACTAATTTGTTTTATATTAAATAGCTGCAGACCCCACTGTAAAATAATAACTCACTGCTTCTGTTGGCCTTTTCTATTTTTGAGACTGGGGCTGGCTGTATAGCCCAGGCTGTCCTTATAACTTGTGATTCTCCTGCCTCTGCCTCCCAAATGCTGGGATTACAGGCCTATGCCACTGTACCCGGGTTCTTTGGTTTAATGTTTCTGGTAGCTAGTGCTAGGAGGGGAGGAGCTATGGTTTATCAGATAGACATTTATTGAGAACCTACTATGTGCCAGGTGTTGCACTTTGTGATAGGATTCCAAAGATGAATGTGGTAAAATAATGTGCTTATTTTGAGGGTGGGAGATTCTTATGATCTGTCAATTCTTAAAAGTTATGTCTGTGGGGTAAACTAATAGTAGCGTTATGAAATGCAGTCTGTTCATACCGTTTAAGGTCATTATGTGAGTAGATTTGATGAGATAATGGTAAAATAATTATATAGATTATTTTTAAAAATTAATAAATTGAATTTTAAAAATACCATGTTATGGTGGAAAGTGCTCTGGATTGGATGCCATGTGATACGGGTTTTTGTCTTCACTCTCTCCAGTTAGCTGTAGAATTGTGCCTCTCAGTGCCTCCTTACTTGTTTTTCTTTTTCACAATGTGTTTGATGTTTGTTCTATTTAATTCAAAACACAAAAGCAGTATTTTGAATATTTTAAGATATGCACCTTATAGAAAATTCATGAAAATTTTGAATCAGATCAAGAATTAGGATCGTATTATATAGATTATTTTAATTCTCTTTCCCATTCAGCGTTGTGTGGTAAATATTTCTTATGTCATGTTATAGAGTCTTTCAAAATATAGCTTTTAATTGTCCTACATATTTTTCTGTGCCTCAGTTTCTTCATCTCTAAAATAACAGGTTTGGGTTACCTGATAATAAAGATTCAAAATCTGCTGTCTTTAATTAATTATCTTAGTTTTTTAAGGGAGGGCACAGGGTCTCGCTATGTAGTTTAGGCTGGCCTTGAACTCACGGTGCAGCCCAGGCTAGCCTCAAATTTGTGGCAATCCTCCTGCCTCAGCCTCCTGAGTGCTGGGCATACAGGTATGTGCCATCACATCCGGCCTTAGATGTTTTTAAAAAAATTAATTGTTTTTGAGACAGGAACTCGATGTGTAATCCAAGCTGGCCTTGCACTTAGCTATGTAGCTCAGGCCGGCCTCAAACTCATGTGATGCTCCTGCCTCAGCCTCCTGGTGCTGGAATTATAGGCATGCACCGTCATGCCCAGCCTTAGATTTTACTTTTAATAGTGCTTTTACATAAGCCAGATCTGGCAGCTCATACCTGTATTGCCAGCTACTCAGGAGGCTGAGGCAGGTGAATCAAGAATTGGAGGCAAACCTAGAGAACATAGACCCCATCGCTGAAAACAGAAAAATTACTAAGTCTATTAAATACCTCTCTTTTTGAGACAAGGTCTCCCTATGTAGTTCAGACTTGCTTTGACCTCATTATGTAGCCCAGGCAGACCTCCAGCTCTCGGTGATCCTCCTGCCCCAGCCTCCAACGTGCTAGGATTACAGGTGTGTGCACCAACATGCCCCGTTGGAGTAAACATCTCAAAGGAACAAGAAATTAAGAAGAGGGGAGAGAGCTCAGTATGGTGGCTGATGCCTGTAATCCCAGCACTCCAGAGGCTGAGACAGGAGGATTGCCAGGTGTTTGAAGCCAGTTGAGGCTACCTAGTCAATTCAAGGCTAGCCTGAACTACAAAGACCCTGATTCAAAAAATAAATAAAGAAGAAGAAAAAGAGAGCAGAAGGTAGGGGAAAGGAAGTAAAAGGGATCAAGATGTGATATGTATATGTTGTTATTCGCC